CAGTGTCCTTTGCTTTACAGAAGCTTCTCAGTCTCAGGAGGTCCCATTTATTCAATGCGGCCCTTACTGTCTGTGCTGCTGGGGTTATACGTAGGAAGTGATCTCCTGTGCCCACTTGTTGTAGAGTAGTTCCCACTTTCTCTTCTATCAGGTTCAGTGTGTTCGGGCTGATATTGAGGTCTTTAATCCACTTGGACTTGAGTTTTGTGCATGGTGACAGACATGGATCTATTTACATTCTTCTACAGATTGACATCCAGTTTTGCCAGCACAATTTGTTGAAGATGCTCTCTTTTTTCCATTGTATACTTTTAGCTCCTTTATTGAAAATCAGGTGCTCATTGGTTTGTGGATTAAAGTCAGGGTCTTCTATACGGTTCCATTGGTCGACTTCTCTGTTTTTATGCCAATACCAAGCTGTTTTCAATACTGTAGCTCTGTAATAGAGTTTGAAGTCAGGGATGGTAATGCCTCCAGATGTTCCTTTATTGTATAAGATTGTTTTGGCTATCCTGTTTTTTTTTGTTTTTCCATATAAAGTTGATTATTGTCTTCTCCAGATCTGTGAAGAATTTTGATGGCATTTTGATGGGGATTGCATTGAATCTATATGCCCTGTGCCTTTTGTAAGAGGTCAGAGTTCAAAGTGTTCCAGCACTTTCTAGGGAAATAATCCTAAGACTATTAACCTGACCAGTTATCATTACCCAGGAACCCCCCAACCTCTACCTCCACCCCCGAGAGACAGGGTCTCTTTATAGCCCTGGCTTTTCTGAAACTTGCTCTGTAGACTAGGCTGTCCTCACAGGAATCCACCTGCCTCTGTCTTCCAAGTGCTAGGATTAAAGGCGTGCACCACCACTGCCTAGAGCAGCAAGTGTTCCCAACACGAACCATCTTACCTGCTTCTTCTTCTTTTTTTTTTTTTTCTTCGAGACAGGGTTTCTCTGTGGTTTTGGAGCCTGTCCTGGAACTAGCTCTTGTAGACCAGGCTGGTCTCGAACTCACAGAGATCCACCTGCCTCTGCCTCCCGAGTGCTGGGATTAAAGGTGTGTGCCACCACTGCCCAGCCAGTGCTCTTAACCACTGAGCCATCTTTTCAGCCCTCAGTGTTATGGATTTTTGAAAACTCATTCTGGAAATTTTCAAAGACATAAAAGTAAATTCTTGTACTTACTACCCATAGTTAACTTTCTGCCTTTTCCTGATTCCCCTTCTCATAAGATGGAGGAGTATTTGAGTTTTATTTATTTTAAGTTTTTAGTTTTTTGAGACAGGGTGTAAGCTGGGTGTCCTGGAATTCGCCCTGTGATTAAAGGTGTATGTCACTACAGCTGGGGAATATGTGAAAGCGAGTGGTAGATGTCTTTTCTGTGTGTCACTTTTATAGTATCCAATACAGATGCTTGACAGTGCAGAAAGATCAGGAAGATGCATGCCAGTCAACCTTTGGGTATTCAGTCCATATCTCTGAAAATGACACGACAGTGGCAAGCAGTCGGGGGACTAGAACATTTTAGCTGCCTGCTGAGGTGTGGGGTGCCTACTGTCTCCAGTCTGAACACATGAATTACGTGCTAAGATATATATATTGTTCATTGTGGTATCAGTTCTCAGCCAGGGTGGGGGAGGTGATTGGAGCCCCTCTGCCCCCCCCCCCTCCGGGATGTTTGGCAATATCTGGAGATATCTTTGATGGTCACACCTGGTAGCTAGAAAGATTGCTGACCTCCAACAGTAGAGGACACTGCGCAAATGAACAGTGTCATACGCTGAGACTCGGAATCTAGAGTGGGGATCAGGGAATCCATTTTTTGTTTTGTTTTGTTTTGTTTGGGTGTCTCAGGACAGGGTTTCTCTGTAGCTTTGGAGCCTGTCCTGGAACTAGCTCTGTAGACCAGGCTGGCCTCGAACTCACAGAGATCCACCTGCCTCTGCCTCCCGAGTGCTGGGATTAAAGGCATCGCCTGGAAGGGAATCCATGTTTTAAAACTGTGTGTGGGTGTTTTGCTCATATATGCCTGTGTACCACATGCATGTAGTGCCTGAGAAGAGCTTAGAAAAAGGTGTTAGAATCCTTGGAACTGGAGCCCCAGATGGCTAGGAACTGTCAGTGTGCATGCTAGGGATTGAAGAGTCTGGAAGAAGATCCAGTTCTTTTACCCTCTTCTCAGAGGTTCTGTTTAAGTCACTGGGAACTTCTCAGTGAAGGTTGGTCAGAGGGATGGATAGCAGTGGCGTGAGTCACTGTGGAGATCTGTCCATAGTGTTGTAGAGTTAACTCAGAAGCTCGGGCTCTGCTTACTAGGATATCAGGTTCCCTCTGAGGCGGGCGGAGGTAAAGTTTTCATTTCTGGAGATCTTCCAGAAGTTAAACAAGGCTGAGATTGTTCTTGTTGCAGCTCATGCATGTGGGTTGACAGGGAAGAAACAAAACCTGTGTGAGGAAGGGAGACATTTAGGAGGCACATCCAGGATGTCCTTAGCAGCCTGAAAATAGCATGCTGTGGACGCATTGGAGGGACCCCAAAGAAAAGGGACTGACAGCTCCTTAGTGTCCAGGGATTATGGAGATGGGTGTGTTTTGTGGTCTGAATGAGAGCTTAGAGTCATGGAATTTTTTTTTTTATTTTTTTTTTATTTTTGCAAAACAGGGTTTCTCTTGTGTAGCCTTGACTGTCCTAGAACTCCTTTGTAGACCAGGCTGGCCTGGAACTCACAGAGATCTGCCTTCCTCTGCTTCCTGACTGCTTAGAGTTCTGGATGTTTATGGGGAATGTAGAATTGCTGGCAGGTACAGTAATTTTGTGCCTTGTTTCTTTGCAGATTGCTCAATTAGCAAGTGGATGTGCGGGTAACATGTCCAGTGTGTCTGAGGAGAGAAGAAAAAGACAGCACAATATTAAGGAAGGTCTACAGTTCATCCAGTAAGAACTTGATACTTCATGGCCCACCGCTGTGTTTATCCGATGACCACCCCTGTACTATGGATGAAGTCCACACATGTGGAAAATCAGAGATCTCTTGGGTTTTTCCAGGCTGTGCTGTTCTGTTTTGAAGTAGAATCACTGTGGCCCAAGAAGACCTGAGACTCCTAGCAGTCCTCCTGCTTCAGTCTCAGAAGTATTGGATTATAAGCATGAATCCATCCCTGACAGCCTAGGAACTGTCACAGTGTTCAGGTTGGGTTGGAAAGGACGTTTTCATTTGAGCACTTTTTTCCCTTTTCTTTTTGGATTTTTTTTTTTTTTTTTTTTTTTTT